CTTTCTCTGCTGCTTCATCAAGCCAAGAGCGAACTTTCCCAAGAGGGTCTTGACTTAAAATGCTGACAGGAAATGGTGAGCTCAGCGGAGCTGTGTGTCCTGCTTGGAGGCCTCTGTCCTGAGCACGCTGTACTTTCATGGTTTGCCGGCATTTCTGTGGGTTCTCAGATGCTCCCAGAATTTCTCAAGGTGGGGGATGTAAAACCTTTACCCTAGAGACCACAGCGATTGTGGTCTCTTGGTCCCCAGAGTGACAGCCTTCTGTTGGGGTGCCCAGGCCTCTGTCAGACCAAAGATCCTCTGGAGGGACGACCTGCCTCCGTGGGCCTGTGGGCAGTGGAAGGAAATAGGAAATCAGATGAATTTGGGACCAGAAATGGCCCATGGAGAGAGACCCTCATTGACAGAGCCACCAGAGAAGGGGGCTAGAGTGGCACTGGGTAGGAGGGGACACGGCCCTCTTCTCCCCACGGGGGTCCCCTAAAGTAAAGGCCACCCCTGCCCCTGTTCCTGCAGTAATGGTCCTGCTGCCCCTCCCCCCTGTCTTACAGCTTGGCTTTTACCTACAACCAGACAGGCCTGAGAGGTGTTCTTAGAAGTTTCATGGATAGTCTCAGTAACCTCAGGGAGAGCATACGCATCTGGAGCTTCCTAACCTTCCGGAACAGGGTAAATAAACCTTGAGATGTCGTGACCTTGCCTTACCCCCCTGCACATGGTAACTGCAGCTACAGAGCAGCCCCCCCATAGGGCGTAGCCTGTGGATGCCGCAGACCCCACCACTCCCTGTTGTCTTGCCTTGCCTGCTTCCCCGCTTCTACTGGTCTTTGGCTTTGAGACCCCTGGTTTATGGACTCCAAGCTTGAAATCTTGCATGTGTTTGCCTGCCTGCACGCCTGTGCTCATGCTCTTCCGTCCGCCAGGAGTGCCTTCCTCTGGCGGACGTGCCCGCTCTGCCCTCCTCTGCCCAGCAGGTGACTCTTCTCCTGACCACTCCTCCTTCCTCCCTCCATTGGCCCTGGGGAGGGTCCCTCACGCTGGCTCATCCTCCCACCTGTCCCCAGCCGACTGGCAGCTTCTCCTCCTCTCTCGGTCGTGTCCTCAGCTGTTTCCCCACTGCGCCTGTGCCCGTCTTCCTGGTTTTTGTCCCAGACCGGTCCCGTGTGCAGATGCTCCCGTGTCCCCCACCTTCCCTGCTGCGTTCTTCAGCACCCCCGCTCTCGGCCGCGCAGGCTCTCCCCTGTGTCCACAGGCATAGGAGGCTCTGCAGACGGAGCGCGCCCGGCTGGAGGGCCTCACCTGTCCCCCCCTTCATCCCACAGGTGCCCCCCAACCCAGGGCGCGGGCTGGTGCTGTCCCTGCTGCTGCTGCTGGTGCTGCTGCTAGGCTGGGGGCCCCAGCTCCAGTGACCCAGCCGCTGCGGGGGCGGGGGCGGGGCTGGCCCCCCGAGCTCCACCCTGGAGGTGGCCTTGTTGGTTTTGTTGTCTTTTTAACTGTTTTCTGATGATCCCTTTTTTATATTTAAACTCTGAGTGCTGGGACACTACTGAGGTTTCATACTAGTTTTTTTCTTTCCCTTTTTGTAAGAGAAATGAATTCATTATACCTCTGGGGTCGTTACTGGTTAACTGCCCGTGGGCCTGCTCTCCTGGCCCCAACCCACCATGCGGTGGCCTGTCCCGGGAAGGAGGGGGTCTTGTGGGGGGGGGGAGTGCTGGCCACACCCCCGTGTCTGTGATGGCCGGGACAAAGAGAATCTGCTGGAAGAGATTCTGAGGGGTGAGGAGAGCTCAATAAAATGTTGGTTTCCAGCTGGTCTCTGGTCCTCTCTGGGGGTTTGCCGCGTGGGCTCCATCTTGCCCCTGGCGGCAGAATCAAGGGGGAGCGGAGAGTAAGGGCGGGGCGTGGGCCTAGCCACCTGTGTGTGACCACACCTGCAAGCCCTTTCCTGCACCTGCTGTCATGAAGTTTGGCCCAACACAATCAGGTTTACTCCTGCTCTTGTCATGCCTGGTGCCTGAAATCTACCATTAGGGATTATTTCCTTTGGCCTGTCAGTCTCTTATAATTGGGCTGCCTGCCCTCCCCATATGGGCTCATCCAGCGCTCCCTGCTGGAGCAGTGCAGCCTGTGGGGCTACCCACATAGGTGTGCTGGGGAGAAGGGGCTGGACAAGGGGTACCCACCATGTGGGCTCAGCCTGCCGCAGTCCTGGGCCTAGTTGTGTTTCCAGACCGCTGTGTTAGGCGCGCTCTCCAGAACTTGAGCTCTGACTCCCCCCCCCCCCCCCCCCGCTCCATAGTCCCCGCTATCTCAAATGCCAACCCTGGGCTGGGGTGAGCCCCCCATCTTCTGCAGCCTCCTCTTCCTGTCCCCTTCAGGTCCTGGATTTGGAGAGCCTTCCTTGCACCCTCATGACTGAAGGGACCCTCCCAGCCACCACCGGGCTTTCTGTGTCACAGCTCTCCAGGGTCTGGCCCTTCACAGCCTGACTTCCCACCTCCTTTCCTGTAAATGGTCCCTTGGGGCTATGTCAGGCCCTCCCAAAACCTCACAGGCAAGCCCAGAGTCTGCCAATTCCCAGGTCCTTGCTGGGGATGTTCCATCCTGACATCCTGCTCCACCCAAAGGACACTCCACCCCTGGACAGATACACACCAAGTTCATAGACCTGGAAGTGACCCAGGGCTTTCCCTGTGTAGCTGCATTGACCCCGGGGCCCTGCGGATCCACTGGAGAATCAGTTAACTAGGGATGTGGCGAGGCCAAACCCAGAGGCACCTCTTCTAGGAAGTCCTCCCTAGCCACCTAGCACCAGCTTGCTCCTAAGCTCTTGGGACAAAACTGCCCACCCAGCCGTGTACCCACCTGAGAGGTTCCATGTGGCCAGGGCTGCCTTGTAGCTTCCCGAGGAGCTTGGGCTTCTTCAGAGAGAGGAGGGAGTGCAAATGGCTGTTTGTGGAGCCCCCAGGTGCAGCCGATGCAGTGGCTCTTCCCTGCAGGGATTTGGGGGACCCCCTCCCCAGGTGTTCTAGGGTTTGCAACATTCTTCCCACCCATGGATGTCAGCGGAGCCCCTACTGCGCTAGGCTTGGGCACAGGTTCTGGGGTTGTGGTGAAGACATGGTCCCTCAAATCACACATTCTCTTTAAAAAGCACACAAAGACGCTAAGGACTGGGGCTGTGTTCTGAGGGCAATAAAGAACTGAAAATGGGGCTGGGGTGGATGAGACCCAGAAGATACTGGCTGTGGAGAAAACTAAGGCGTCACCCAGCAAGGAGGAGCAGCACATACAAAGGCCCTGGGGTGGCTTGGGCCGGTGTCTGACTTGCTGTCTCGTCAGTTCATGCCAACCCTGGGGCCGAGAGGAGCTTGCCACAGCTTCTGCACCCCCACACGAAGTGGATGCGGCTTCATCTGGAGCCGGCATTTCACTCGTCTGCTCAAGACAGCCCAGCCTACAAGTGGGAAACTGAGGCCCAGAGAAGGAAGGGGCTTGACCAGAGTGGCACTGGGATCCTCTGATCCCAACCAGATTGGGGTCTTCTGCCCACTGATGCCGTCTAGTCCAGCCTGCAGGGGGTGCTGAGACGCTGAGGCCCAGATGAGGAAGGGGTGATGGTCAAACCCAGTCTGGCTGATCCGTGTGGCAACTTCCACAAGTTGCAAACAGATGCTTAGCAACAGTGATACCAGAAATCACTTGTCCAACCCCAAAAAGGAAGGACTGGAGGCCTCGCCCTACTAGGAAGGGGGGCAGGGGTGACGTGGGTTACCCTTTGGCCTCACGATCCCTAGAGAATCGCTCCACAATGCTCCCATCTCCTGGGGCACCTCTGTAGCAGGTCCCAGGGCCACTGCCACAGGGTGGACACAGACTGCTATTCCATGGGGGGCCTGGGGTGGAGGCCCCTGGAAACAGTGAAGCACCTTCCCAGAGGAGGTGACAAGGCTGCAGGGGTGTGAGGGGCCCCATCATCTTTGCTGTTTCTGAGGCTTTTGGTCAAGGTCCTTGGTCCAGTCAAGATTTCTGGGGATGAGGCAAGATCTGATTCTCTTAGAATGTGCCCAGGGAAACCTGTTCCTGCCAGGCAGGGAAGCAGCACCCAATTCCAGGCCCATCCACCCAGCCCAGGGCTCCCGTCGTGGAGGTGAGCACTGCCTGCCCGCACCTTTGGGTTCCCCCTACTGGGCAGCCCCTGCAGTGTAGCCAGAGACTTTGCCAGTTTTCTGGAACCTTCTTAAGGCAGCACCATATGCCCTTTGAATGCTGTTCCTTCTCCCTCCTGTGGCTTGGAGTCTGGCTGGATCCTGAGGAAAAGGGCCGTGCCCAGAGAAGCAGGAAGGCCTGCCATGCGGGAACACTCCCCCTCCGCCACTTCTCCAGCTCCCTTACGTGGGACTGCTCCTCAGAGCGGAGTGTAACCGCCACCCCACCCTGCCTGCAGCACCCCCAGAGAACGCAGGCCTGGCCTGGCCGGTCTCCCAGGGCGGCCGCCACCACAGCGCTCGGGGGAGGGTTCGGACAGACTCCGCACTCTTTAAAAGTAATAGCAAGTTTCGGGCAACCCTCTCGGGTCCCCTCCCTCTTTGGGAGCTTTGTACTATTGCTCCATGAACTTTGCTGCCCACCAAAAATAGTAACAGCAAGGTTCTTTGTGAATGTTTGAAAATTTCTAAGATGGGAGTTTTAAGAGATCCTCACTGAACTCCAGAGAACACTCAAACTCCAGCGGTGGGGAAGATGGGGTTCCGTGGTCCTCTTCGCAGGGGCTCTCGGCCAGTGCTGCGGACACACGTGGGTATGTGCGGGTCACCAGGTCTGGAAGGGTCACTGGTACAGAGCGGCCAGGAGCCAGGACAGCAGCCCACATCATGAGCCAGTTCTGCCCAGAGGCTGACGGGGCCCCTGCCGAGAAACCCTGCGGAATTAAAAACGAGAAACCTACCCGGGATTTGACAGGTGTCTACACAGACATTTACAGACAAATGCAGAGATCCCGTATCTGGATGGGTTTACCACTATCACCGATGAAGGAAAAAGCCACCGAGGAGCTTAGAATGACTCCTATTCAGTATCAGCGCAGGAGCGGCGTCCACTGAGAGCCTGCGCTCTGCTACGGTGTGGAGGGGGCAGAGAGGCGCTAGGGGGGTGGCCTGTGCCAAGGGAGGTCACGGACACAGAGTAGACACTTAGCGATCACTGTCTGCAGGGCTGCCTGGGGGCGGGGGAGGAAACAGGGCCCTCAGCCGGCCTCCCCAGACCCTTCCCGCCTGGCTACGGACTCTCTTCCCCACCAGGGCAGACGCCACTTGCTTACAGGTAGACAGCAGGTGCTCAATACCATCTGTTGGGTAGATAAACAAATGTGGGACCGAGTCTCCCAACTATGGAGAGTGGGGTGCACAGGATGGCTGCCCAGGCCGGTTGTGTCTGAAAGCCCTTTGCTTTCCGTGATGAAAGGGCTGAGATTCTGGCTGTGGGTGGAGTGACAGGCCACGGGCCGCAGAGGAGCCACCAGAGCCCAGGGGTGTGAGGTCTGCCTCCGGGCAGACTCTTCTGGCCTAGCTGCAGCTTTCTCCCCAGCCTTGGAATAGACCTGGGGGAGAAACGGACCTTGGCAGGTAAAGAAATACTCACTTCTAGTGCTTTTTATGTGGCCTTCAAACCACTTTGCAAACACTGCCTCCCAATCACTTGGAGGAGGAAGCCTAGGGACAGGCAGGGCAGGTCCAGGCCCGCTGCAGCCCCTCCTGGGTCCCCTTCTGCCTCCCAAGCTGCGCCCCCGCCGCCTCGGGCACCAGGAGATCCGCCGGGGGGCCTGGTCTAAGTCCCGTCGTCCTCCAGCACCTCCACGTGCCTGTAGGACTTCCAAGCCTGCAGGTTACAGCTCTTCAGGATGGTTCCGAGCTGATTCCCAGGGCCCACTTCAAAAGTCTGGGGGAACTCCGTGCCTTTCTTCCTCTCGTATATGGCATGCATCGTCTGCTCCCACTTCACCGGGGAGACCACCTGCCGCACCAGCAGTTTCTGGACGTGTTTGGGATGCATGTATCTATTCCCATCGACGTTCGAGTGGACGGAAACCAGAGGCTTCTTGACGCCAATCGACTTTAGAACTTGTGCCAGGGGCTCCAAGGCTGGCTCCATGAGGCGGGTATGGAACCCCCCGCTAACGGGCAGCATCTTGGTGCGTCTGAAGTGATACTTGGAGGAATTCTTCTGGAGGAACTGCAGCGCCTGGACGAAAAAGGGAGGAAGTTTAAGCCAAGGACATCTTAGGGGAAGAAACAGTGAGGCGGCCAGCACTGGTACATAGGAATGCTTCATCCTGCAGACAGTTGTGAGGACAGGCTCACTTCACCTCTTCATTCCAGTACAGATCAGTTGTGTACGCGGTGACCCCGAAGTCCTCCTCTGGGGCTGTGACCACTCACACAGCCCTACTGGGCAGGCAGCCACGGTGGGGCTGAAAGAGATCGAGGCTGGGGAGCGTGGTCCACCCTAGCGCCTCATTCACTGGCCTGGGGGCGCTGGGCAGATCACTCAACCTCTCAACTTCTGTCATCCACAAAATGAGCACAATTTCAGCTGCTTCAAAAGGTTGCTGGGAAGCGATCAGACAGGAGGTGTGAAAGGGTCTGACAACATGAGAACGCACTACCTAGTGTGAGTTTGCAATTATAAGCTGGCTACCCTTCACAATTTTTTTTTTTTTTTAAAGATTTTATTTATTTATTTGTCAGAGAGGGACACAG